GGGGGGACGGGGATTTATCTTCATACCCGAAGCGGGGTCGGAGCATGGTCGTGGATAGCATTACCCGTCTCTAATTCGATTTTTAATATTGGTAATCAATTTAGCTATGATTTATTATAATTCTAATTTTAAAATATATTATTTATATAGATATTTTTACTAAATTGGGTTCCCCGAACCCTCCGGGGATTCTTTCTCCCAGAACGTGTAGGGGATTAATCGGGGTGGTGCCGACTGCCGAGGATGGGGGGCTTAAAAGACTGTCAGGACGGGGGTTGCATTACTCGCCCAACACTCTCCCCGTTTCCATCCCTAGTTGTGGACACAGCTCTCGTATTTTTCAAATACTGTCTTCACACTACTACCTCTATTTTTCATTCTCTTTTGGTTGTGGCACTGAATTTTATAACCATAGCATCAGTTTCAGCCACCACCTCTGCACGCACCTGCTACAATCTAAAAGCAAAACCATTATTATATTTTGTACATTGGCTACCATGTTCAATTGAGATAAGTTTTCTTTTATCTCCTGCAGGTCACTGGAAAGTTGGCAGCGTTGAAAGGATTAGATGCACGACTGAAGGAGATACGTGGATATCTGGACCTTGTCATAGATGGAAAGCTTCCATTAAATCATGAAATATTGTACCATCTACAGGTATTCCTTTTACATTGCCTCCCAAGTATCCGACTTTCTGAATATTTTCTTGTACATTTAGGTGCACACACTTGTCACTTCTCCACCATGTAGAATTTTGTAGGGCAATCTCTTCAGACTGCCCATATAGGGGCATGAAGTTTTGAGCGCTTGTTGGTTTACAAATGAGGAGCAAAACATTAATTTTGAAGTACTTCAATAAAGTAGATACCTATGCCAATCTTGCAACACAACTCAGCATGTGAACTGCACTATTTTCCATACATAGTACGTTAGGGATATGTTATAGACTTATAGTAGATATTATCGAGCACAGTGAATATTACAATGGATAGTCAATACCAGTATGAATTCGATAGGGTACTGCCTAGGGGTGTAAACGAGCCGAATTGAGTCGAGTAGTAGGTTATTCGAGTTGGGCTCGAAAAAAAATACCAGGCTCTAGCTCGACTCGAGCTCAAATAACTTTTTCAATATAGGGCTCGAGCTAGAATATATTTTTAATTATCGAGTTCGAGCTCGATGCTCGTTTATGGGCTCGAACTCACGATCGACTAACTCGTTTATAGGCTCGAGGTTGATAATTTTTATATCTTTATTGTATGATTTGTGAACAAATGAGCATGTTTGGCTCGACAAAATGTTTGATCAAATGGCTTGGCTCAACTTGAAAAGTTTAATCGAGTTTTCGAACGAGCCGAGCTGAGCCGAACGTCGGTGTTATGAAGCTCAGATCTTTAAGTTAAACGAGTTTTTTTTTGTGTTCGAGATCGACTTGAGCTCGAGAATTATTAAGCTCGAGCTCGAGATAAACGAGCTCGAGTAGCTCATTAGAAGCTCGACTCATTTACACCCCTAGTACTGCCTGCCAGACTGCCACAGTGATCTATCTACGGTAAACTAATCAAAGGACTCTATGATACATTGTTTTTCCACTTAAAAGTGAAAACCTTTGCTATTATTCCAGTTTCTTTTAGAAAATGTTGTGATGATTTTTTCCAATTGGAGAACGAGTAGTTGGTTAGAGTTGAGGAAAAAGTGGCCAAAGTATGTCCATCTAGCAAGTGTAAAGTTTTGGTAATTTGGCACAGATGTAGCATCTAGTATTTTGTTTGGAGCACTTGATTCGCATGCATATCTTTTACATTTTGGATACCATTTACGCAGATTGTTGTTGTTAATGAGGAGTCCTATATCAATGCTCTTAATAATCTGTTGCCTCAGGCCATTCAGCTAGTAACGAATTATATCAAGTAGCATGGAAGTCCAGGCCATTTTCATCTTTATTTCATAGTTTATCGACTGTTTAACTGCAGGACGTGTTTAACCTTCTGCCAAATCTGAACGTGGCTGAATTGATAAAGGCATTTGCAGGTATGCACATACTAGTAGGGGAGGATTCTTACTCCTGATGTTTGTATTCTGTACTTATACCGACTGTTTCTTGCCTATGCATTTTGCAGTGAAAACAAACGATCAGATGCTTGTAATCTACCTTTCTTCTTTGATCAGAAGTGTGATAGCCCTTCACAATTTGATCAACAACAAGGTAAACATCCTTGTCTATATCGAATTAGACCCCTATCCTGATATCTTTTCTTGGTGATTGTCGTTTTACAAGAGAGGAAATGGGCTGTGTCTCGAATGACATCTAGAGTTAAGTTCATTTATGTGAAACTTTCTTGAAATGGCTTAGATGGTGCTTCTGAACCTTCCAATATTGGATTACTGAGAATGATTTAATACAACATTGAATTGATGATTGTTTATCAGATGCTTAACAAAGAACATGAGAAGGCCGAGGATGCAAAACCGACAACAGTAGCACCCGTCGCTGGGAGCTAAGACCGCTAAGCTGTTTTGCGGATTTTGGTTGCTGAGTTTGTGAGGTTTTCTGAAAATCTAGAGAGGCAAAGAAAGCTGATTAGGAGGTATTTGTTTGTATCACCATTTGGTGGATGTAATATGTTCAATTCAGATCACTCTCTCTTGATTCTTTTTATTAGAATTCTGATCTTCTTGAAACTTATTATTATCTGGGCCAAGTGTGTTCCTCTATGCAAGAATTGGATCATATGACATATCTAAAAAAAGATCAATCTCATATCTTGTTTTTGTTGGTGAAACAATATTGTATCATCAAAACAAATCAATCCAATGTTCTGTTGTTTCAAAACCAAAACAAAAAGCGACTCTTTTTTGAGGAAACAATTTGAGGAAGTGACTGAATGGTTTGGTGCAGAGTGATTAACTGGTCAGAATGATTAAGTGACTTTTACAATGTAGTGTAAAATGAAATATAATTGTTTGGTAATTATTTAGAATGAGATTAGGTTGTTGAATGGTTAAAGGAGGTTCAAGATAAAAAATCTTTCAGATGATTTTAGAATCATTAAGAGAGATTTTTTTGTGAAGTAAGATTCACCTCTTAACAATTTTAAGGTTGTCTTTTAATGGAATTATTAAGAGGTTAACAAACAACCTTTTAATATAACTAATAAGGTAATTATGAAAGTTTAAAATGTATAATAAATACTTATTCATATAAATATACAGGGGCTATTCTGAATATAAGGTTGATATATATATATATATATATATAACCAAAACTATTGTGCAAACTATGTTAACCCGTTCTTGGTCGTTCATTTTCTTATCAAACGGTCCTTTATTAAATGAGACTATAAAAATAATCATTTAATTAATATATTCATTGAGATGCCTATGAACAACGGTTCAGATGGTCCTTTTGTAAAAATATCGCATGAACATGGTGAACATTTATATGAACACGGTGAACATTTATATGAACACGGTGAATGTTCATGGATATGAACACCATGAACACCGTGAACATCGGAATTACCTCATGATCAATTAGAKGRATCTTAAAAGATTTGTAACTCCCAAATAATTATTAGGGAGTTACATAAAGGTCAAATTACAAAATGACCCTTGTATTCAATTTATAAGTTACATTTGAACATAAAATAAA